ATTTCTTAATATAAAGCGAAATTATTAGATATAATAATTCCTAAATAATATTTAAATAGGCTCGAATTATTTTTTTAGATTTTTTTTTTTATAATATTTCTTTTAAGATATTCTAATATCGAGAATTATTTTTTAAGCTATCTAAATAATATTTAAAAAAGATTTAGATAAAGAGACTAATATTATAGCTCTTTTAGTAGCTATATATATCTATATATAAAGAATTAAGTATTTATAATTATTTAATTTAAAAACTCGAGAAATCGAGAAATCTTCGATTTTATTAAATAATATAATTATAAATATTTCTATTATTTTAGCCATAGTAATAAAGCCTTTAAGATATTTCTTTATATTTTATTTCTTAACTAATTTTATAATTAAAAAATCTACAAAATAATTTATTTATTTTATAATAAATATTTCTTTTTAATTATTATAAATATAATAAAAATTAAATAATATTTATCTTAAAAAGAAAACCTTTTAGATATTTATAAGAATCTCTAAATTATAATTATAAAAGCTTTTTTTAATTTATTTTAAAAAATTAAAAGCCAAGTTATATTAATAGAATCTTTTTTAGAATTAGGCTTTTTACTAGATTTCTTTACTAGATCTGAAATATTTCTATAATAAATAATATTAAAATTATATATTATAAAATATATTACCTAATATATTTAATAGCTTTCTAGATATTTTATTTCTAAAAAATATTAGAAGTTATTATAGTTTATAATAATCTCGATTATAAATCTAGACTTTTTAAAATAATAATACTAATACTTAAAAGCTTTAATAATTATAAGTAGCTTTTTATTATAAGTACTATAATTATATTTAGCTTTAGAGAGTTTCTGGAACTAGAATATTACTAGATATTAATATTTCTTTAAGCTATTACTAGAATTAATTTATTATAAAATAGTATTAGTAATTATAAATTTTAATATATTAGTTTTAATATGAACTTTCTTAAAAGAATTAAAATAAATTAAAATAAATTAAAATAAATATTATAATAAAAGCTTTTTTTAATATTTTAAAGCTTTTAGCTACTTTATTTATTTATAAAAAGAAACCGGATTTCTGGTTCTTTTTTATTTATTTTAAGAAATCTATTAAGCCTATAGTTATCTGAGAATAATAATAAATAAACCTATAATAGAAATTAGTAAATCTAAAAAATATTTAAATATTATGAAATAATTTTAGTTCTGACTATTTAATAATATTATAAACCCGTTTAGAATTTATTTAAATACTTTTTATTCTAATAAAAAAGCCCAAGAATTTAATTTCTTTAATATTAAATTCGTATTTATTAAATTTATAAAACAGGTTATTTTTATATAGCCTAATAAGTATTTAATAAATATAATTATAGTATTTATTTTTATTTGGGAATAAATAAGAATATTATTTAAATAAATAGTTATAAAATAATCTAGAAGTCTTATAAATATAATATTAATATATATTTGAAATATAGTTAATATATTAGCTAGCCTAAAAGATATTATAAGGTATTTAAAATAGCTATAATAGATTCTAAAAGCCGTTTTTATTTATATCTTTTATAAATTCTTATTTAATAATATATATTTTTAAAATCTAATTTTATAAAAATCTTATCTTTTTAGAATTAATTAAAAGTTTTATTAATAAAAGAAAGCAGATATCGATTTTTAATTATAATTTAATTAAGTTTATAATAATTAATATAAAGATATAGTCTTTTTTTTTTAGGAATAAAAAAAATAAGTATTTTTATAAAACTTTTATTAGATCTTATCTAATATTTACAAAATATATTTTATTAATATAAATATAATATTTCTAATTAGATTTCTAATAAATTATATAAAGATCTATATGAAACTATATTATTTATATTAATAAAGTATTTAATATTACTAAGATTAGGAAATACTAAAGCTTTATTAGAATTAAAAACCTCTAAAAAAAATTATATTTATTATTTCAGAAATATATAAATATTTTTAAGGCCTCTTTTTAAAAAGTATTAATTTACTATATTAAAAATTTCTATTTAGTATTATTAAAACTGTATAATAAAATTTATTATTTAGAATAATTATATTTATTTTTAATTAAAAATAAAATTTAAGATATTAGCTTAAAATATAAATTAAGTTCTTTATTAAACTCTTTTAATATTAAAATCTTAATATTATTAGATTATATAAATATATATATATATATATATATATGTATATTATTTCTTAATATAATTTATATATTATATAAGAATTATTTTACAAAATTTTATATTAAAAATAAGGCTATAAAAACTAATATTTTTATATTTATAAAGCTAGAATATAAAAGAATATATTTTATTATAATTATTTATAATAAATATTTATAATAAATATTTTAAGATTTTAGGCTTAATAAATTTTGAATTTATTTCTATAAAAAATTATAAATTCTTAATTATATTTAGCTAAAATAATAAAATTTCGGCTTTAAATCTAATTATTATTAAGGAAATTATAATTTAATTTAATATTACTAAATTTGCTATATATTTCTAAAATACTTATTTTTAGTTATATTAATTTTATTAAAATAGTTATATAAAGTAATATATCTTTTTTATTATAGCTAAAATTATTAATATTTAAAATTTAGCTTTTCTTTTTTTCTATTTCTTAAAAAGTCTCTTTTGAAATACTTTTCTATAATAATAATATGAACCTGCTTTTATAAATACCTTAATTCTTTTATAGTTTTAGTTTTATTAAAATTTTATTAAACTTATTTATTATATTTGAAATATTTTATATTTTCTAAGAAATATTCTTTCTAATTATAAGTCTAATAAACTATATTTAAAATAGAACTAATACTTTAATAGGGCCTAGAAAAGGCCAAAGTATTATTTAAGGATTTTTAATATAATTTTCGGATCTTTTTTCTTCTTTTTTAATAGTTTTATAAATTAAAATTTACTAAATTAAAATTCTTAGAAATAGAATTATTCTTATTAAATTCTTTTATTTTTGCTTTTCTTAATTTAAAATAAATAATATATTCTGCTTTCTAAGCTTTTTTAAATTATTTAAAAATAGATATTATTTTATTTCCTAAAAATATAAATATAAATATCTAATAAGTCTTATAATTAAATAAAATAATATTAAGAATTTAAACTCGGTTTTTTTTAGGATATAGGTTTTAGTTAATTTCGAGACTAATTATTCGAATATATAATTTAGTAACTATTTTATTAATAGATTTAAGATATTTAGAATATATTAGCTAAATAAACCTTAGATTACTTCTAATAAATCTTATATAATAATAGATTTTATTTTATTATAGTCTTTTAAATATTACAAAATTCATTCCTAAAAGTATTTATAATAAAATTAATTTTAGAAAAGTATTTATTATAAGTTTAAAGTTAGATTTTAAAAACTATTTTTTAGAAAAATATAAATATTTTCTATTTCTTAAAGAACTTTCTATAATATAAATTAGATATCTGGATTTTAAAAAGCTTTTTTTAGTCTAAATATATCTTTAGAATATTATATAATAGCTTTTAATAAATAGTATTAAGATTATTTTTAAAGCTTATTATATTAGGAAAAGAAATAAATTCTAATTTTATTCTAGAAAGTTCTTTAGTAAAAATTATTAAGAAAGATAAAATAGATCTATAAATAGAGTTTCTATAAAATATAATAAATTATAAGATATTTCTAAGAATATTTTTATATTATTTTAATTATAGAATATATTAATTAATTATATTTACTAATTCTTACTTTTATTAGAATACTTTAATTTTAGTATATAAGCTCTATTTTATAACTCAGATAATAATAATTTAGGTATTAGTCTTAGTATTTTAATTATTACCCCGATTATTTTAATTATTATTACTTATTTATAAAGGCTCCTAAAGGGCTTTATTAAAAGTATTAGATAAGCCTTTATTATTACCCGTATTAGAGTTAATTTAGTTAATTTCTTTTATAAAAATAGCTTTAATAAGAAATTATATTTTATAGATTTCGAGATATAATTACTTATTAAATTATCTTTTTTAAAAATAAAGAAATTAGTTTATAAAATATTTATTAATAGATAATAAAATAATAGAATAAATTAGTAAATTATAAAATTATAATATTAAATTTAATATAAAATTAATCTTTATTTCTTTTATAAGATCCAGGAAAGCCTTTTTTAAATAGAAGGCTCTAATAATATATATATATATAATTAGTAATTTATAAGTCTAATACTTATAATATTAAAGGGCTATTAATCTCTTTAATTAATACCTATAATATCCGAGATTTATTATATGCCTTTAAGTTATATATAATTCTATATATATTATAAAATAATAATATAATTATAATTTTCTTTTATATATTTAAAATATAATTTGTTATTTTTAAATAATATTATTTTATATTTTTAATTTTATATTAAATATTTACTTTTAATTCCTTTTTAATTCTTTCTTTTATTATTAAATATTAATAAATTATATTATTATGAATTATATTATTATAAATTATATTATTATAAATTATATTATTATAAATTATATTATTATAAATTATATTATTATAAATTATATTATTATAAATTATAATATAAATTATTTTAATATAATTTAAATAAATAGCTTCTTAAATTTTATATCTCTTATAATACTTTTAAATTTACTTTTAATAAAATAAGTACAAATTTAATAAGAAGCTTTAATAACTTTATAATAAATCTTTAATACCAAGCCAGAAAGCTTTCTCTTAGCTTCTTTTGCTCATATCTAGTATCATCCTCGTTGCGCAAAAAATTCCCATCAGTACCTGCAAGTCGGTCCAAGATATTATGGAACAAACCTCAACCCCGATGAGCTCGGCGCACTTCGACACCGATCTACCTTCGGGCAAAAGGGTGAGCCATCCACACGCCGTGTTCAGAGTAAAGACTGGAGTGAGGCCTCCAGCTTCGAAATTCCGGTAACTTCCGCTTTGGATGTCCCAATCCCACGTACCGAGCTCTCGAAGCTCATCAACGGATTCCAGCCTCGCGCAATGGAAGACAAATGGTTCGTCTATGCGAATGAGCCTGATGCGCAAGGAAATACTGTTGTGCATATGTTTCGAAGCTGGACGGGACACAAGATGGCGGAGTTGAAGATTCATGTCCCGCTTGATGACGATGGAAAGTTTGCGGAGGAAGATTCGAAGATCACAGAGATCACGTGGGAATCGGATCCAGAGCGGCATAGAAATCAGACGGAAGAGGGGGCAAAAGCTATGGCGAGGGAAGTGTGCAACTGGGTTTTGGATGTGAAGTTAGGATAGCAGAGCCTTTCAAACACAGAAGCAACATTGTGGAAGATCTTGCATGATTTGACTTGCATTAGAATTCGCAAAGACAATCCCTTTAAGCTCTTTTCAGGTTTCAATACCTGACTTGAGGAAAATCTGAAAAGGGGAGACAATCATGTGACATGTCTCCTCTCTTCAAATAATGGAGATCAACTGTTAGCCTTTTTGCAGACTGTGAAGCCTTCGAGAGTAGTCACTTCTTCAAACTATCTTGAATCTAACATATCACCACGCTTTGCTCAAATACCTCTTTGCGCTCGAGCATTCCCTTCACCTGGCCTTCCATAACACCGTGAATATATGACTCGCCTAGTAACCTAAAAATCCCTGCATCTCCACGAGGTCTCAGGATAAAAGGGACATCAACTCCGACAATTATACAAACTACATCTCCCGGTGCGGTAAGTAGCGGCGCCAAACCATAGAAACCCCTATCTGTGGCCACCACAGTCCGATTCATACAAACAGCCTTTACTCCGCTGAAGTAAACCAAAGCATCATCAATATTTTCCTGCGTAGAGGTGTCTTTGGGAGCTTGGCCTCTATTCTCAAACATCACGGCTAACGATACTGCTCGTCTTGCCAGATTGCTTTCGAAAGCACTGCCCCCAGTGCAGAGCGTGCTACAAAAAGCAAGTTCAGGAGCTGGGTACATGCGAGGACTATCACCCGATTTGCATAATCCTTCCAAAACTTGTTTTAGTCCCCTCTGCTCACCAGTAAAAGTATTCTCGAAACTGATACCGGATACTTCGCTGGTGTGGATTGTATAGGAGTGTTGAACTTTTTCTAAGATGATCCCTTGAAGGATAAGATTATTCCCCGCAAAAACCGGGGCGCTGGCGGTTCGACCAGCTGATGCTGAGAACTTTGTATTTGGCACCTTAAAGATGTCATTCATTACTAGCGATACATCCCATCGAGTGACCCAAGACGGCAAATCTTCCAGAATCGTAGATTGAGTATGCTCGACAGTCGTGAGAACTCGAAGTCCCGTGTGTTGAATTAACGCGTTTGATAATTCTAAATATACCTGCGCCGGAGTCTTCTGATAGTCCGGCCTCACAAGGTTATTGCTGATAAGTGGGTATGCCAACGGATGTCCTAGGAAAGCATACACTTTGTCTCGTGGATCAGAACATGACAAAAGAGCTGCGTGGCTTAATAAGTCCACAAAAGCATATGCTGGATTCTGAGCATTGAGACGCCAGTCTGCCCAGTCAAGATGAATAAAGAGCGATGACAGCCCAAATCTGATTGCCCACGGGGATGTATTTAGCCAGCGAAGAACGCTCACCAGGTCTCGATATCCGAACTCGGCTCGTCCGTAAAGAACAATGGGCTCTTTGGCCAGTGCAGCTTCTTGAATTACCCATGCGCGGCTGAACCAAGGGTTTTCCGTCAGTGTTCCCAATGCGTACCACCGCACATCATTTTGGAGCGAGTGGTCGCTTGGGAGAGAAAGAGGGGAATGTCTTCCTAAATCCAGGGCTTTCGCGTCGTTGATAACAGTCTGGACCTGCAACTCTTTCCCATCTTCAGCGTCACCCATGCAGATATACACCCTGGATGCATTCGAGTACAACGACCCCATAAAAGTGACCTCGCTGCTGCGTTCCTGAAGATCCGACTGATTGATACAGATCGCATCAGCCCAAAGAATTTTGGGTTGGGAGACAGATCGTATGCGAACGAGCGCCCAAAACAAGTTGAAGGTGATCTCGAATGGCCGTCCATCGCATGCGATTGTCACCTTATGCCCGGGATCTCCCCATACATAAGATATCGCATCATACGCAGGTCCTGTAGCTCTTTCAACTACTCGGAGTCGGATAGATACTGGATGGGAAACATGACCTGGGTCGAGGACCAGGAGGCGAAATGTATGCGGTGGGGCGAGCGGACGGTAGAAATTCTGCTCTGGCTCGTATTGCATCAAGTCGTCCATAACGAGCGACTACAATACCGGGAACCCCAATCGAGTGAAGACAACAGTTGCATTCGCTAAGGTTGTAGAACGTGAAGATGCTCAGAAAGGGTTGTTGTTCGATGTTGGGACGAGATATACGGAGAACGATGTATTTGATATACCACAAGGGTATGGTCACGTGATGAAGCGAGGCGAGGGAAAAGGGGTTGGAAACGTCCAGCTCCTCGCAATATCCTAAAGCGTCTTGATTGATCATCCAGGTTCAAGCATTAAACCTGAATAAGGATCTAGAGCTCTGTTTCAATCACTCTCTCTTTCTCCTTCCGATTTCTTACAAGAGACTTAAGGGGAAGGAGATACTTCTACACTTTCGCACTTTTGCTGAGCTGAGTCCTGACTATGTAATTCGGAGGAATACACACTATGGAGATACTTTGAAAATCAGACTCTTTCTTAGGTTGTTTAATACTTAATACCCGGGAGATAGCAGATCTACCGTTCAGCAGGTGCAGCTTTTGATGGAGCGTCGTTTCTCCTCTGGACTGGAAATGGGACATGAATTCACGCCAAGCAGAGGAACACAGCCAAACACCCCGTTATACTGAACCGACCAAACCTTCAATCTGATTTGCTAGGTTTTCAAAGTTCTAGGCAATAAATTACAATCTAATTGATTCTTCCACTTAAACCAATAGCCGAATATCATGGCAGCTGAGGTGGAAAATTGGGCTGCGCAAGTAATTAGTCTGCTCTCTTGAAACTTAGCTTCGGTTCAAAGATTGTTGATTATCAGCGGTTATGTACAAAGACTGCCAAAGGATGCTGAGTTATGGGAGTTATCTAACTAACTAACTCCTTGATTAATATATGTTTAGTGGAGATTAATAAGTCGCTGTTCCCACCGCAAGCTCGTGATATTCCCGACTCCTAATAAAGTGAATGGAACTAGACTTTTGTGGCCAGAGACAAACCCACGGACAAGAATGCTTCCTATACACTCAGCTAGATAGCTTACGAGTCGTTCGTCGAACCTTGTTCTTGGGCTCTCTAATATGTCCAGTGTTTTCAATATCCCGACCTAGCCTGCCTAAGCTTTAGGTTAGGCCAGGAGTAGTAATATTTATGGCTAGGAGTAAGAAAGAAGTGCTTAGAAAAGTCAAGGAGAAGTTTAGGAAGGCTACTAGGTATTTTGGCTAGGAGTAAGAAGGCTAGCAAGGTTTTAATTAGTTACTATATATAAAAAATATCTTGCTATTACTTACTAAGCTATATGTCCGAATCGGGTAATTATAAAGCTATGTAATTAGTATTAAGGTTATATATACCTCTTATAGTTAATTACTGCTTTATCAAGATAAATTAAAGCTATTTGTACCCATTATTAACATTATTGTCTCTGCCATTAAATAGCTCTGTCGGCACTTCCCAATTACCTCTGCCTTTCCAAGTTCCGGCCCTTTTATTTTATACGCCACCGGCACCACTAAACGGGCTCCCGGATTACGCTAGTTTCCGACTGAAACGTGTCTTACCTGTTACTTCCTTATTAGAATATTACCCAATAAAACCCTTACCAAAATACTCACCAAAAATCTCCTAAAAATCCACTCCCGACCTAGCTTGCCTAAGCTTTAGGTTAGGAAGAATTGGCGACAAATTATGGCTAGGAGCAGGAAAGCTAGAATCTCAAATCTCGGGTTAGGAGAGGAAGGAGTGCTCCTTCCTTAGGTCGGGAGTAGCGAGGTCGGGATTTTGAGAACACTGAATATGTCCGCTGGCGTTTCGGTCAGCAAGCGTCTAGGAACGAGGACAATGGTCTGTGAATGCCAGCGATCATGCGGTTCTTCGAGAAGAATGCCATAAGAATTTGCTAATTGGGACAGCGCTGTGCCCTGAGCCAAGATGAGAGCACTAAGCCGGGCGCTTTTATCTCCCTTTTGGATGTCCAATATCGAGTTTTCTTCCACTCGGTGTGTGTTGAAGTCTTTTGGGTATGACAAAGTCTGTTACTTTTTCGTTTTGTCGGTGGAGTTGCTGAATCCGAGCCAGTACATGCGAAATACTGACCCTCAAGCTGGTTCTTGTATTCGTAGAGCAAACTTCAGCGAAAGTGAGTGGAAATCCCCTGACGCGATATAATCTTCAAGTATTTGTCGGTGCCTATCACTTCTTTTGACCCAGACAGGAACAATCGAACGAGTAGAGTGGTCATATAGTCTATAAACCTCGTCATTCCGAGAGCTGATATTTTGCCAAACCAACCCAGCCAAGTCTAACTTGGTAAGTCCGGACATCGCTTTCCATTCTCTGGTGAAACCCAATTCAAGCTATACAGAAAATACCTAGACAGACGACCAGTCTTTTCTCGATGTGGTAACGGGATTCCTAATAGTAATATAACGGATCTAATTGCTTACAAGTACGAAAAATGCCTATAATTACATTTAAGAAGTCTCTGGAGAATATTAATTCTTTCTTAATATAGGTTATAATAAGCTACTAGATAAAATAATCTCGAAATATTATATAGCATGCAACTTGCTATAAAATATATAACTACTAGCCCAAGTTAACTTCTATTCAGAAATCCGCTTATATATTATCTAATAATTTATTAGAAGACAGTATTCTAGATAGAATGTTTTCTGAATTGAAAGCCTTATAATAGCCGGTTTTTTTATATTAAAAATACCTCTATTTATTTATAAAGAATAAAAAATAGTAAAATAGAAATAGCTCTTGAATTATTTTCTGGAGCTATATAAAGTTAAAGAAACCAGGTAATATAGCTTCCTATATATAACTTAATATAATAGCCCGGCTAACTTTATATTTTATTTAATATATTTAAGTTTATAAAGCATTTTTGGCTATAATTCATTTATTATACTAGAATTCTTTTAAGTATTTAAGCTATTTAAACTTCTAGAAATATAAAGCTTATATTCTTATATAAAGTACTAGAATTCTTGAAATATTTAATTAACTATTTAATTATATGTAAATAATAATAAAGATATTTTTATTAAAGTTTTAAAATAGCTCGAAACTTTAATATATTATAAATATTTAAATATAAATAATGTTTATTATTTAATATTATTTTAAAAGATCTAGAATAATAATAATCCCTATTAAATTATTCTAGGATAGCTTAGAATACTGGCTTTATTTTCTTTAAATTTATTTTCGGGGTTTATTTTTATTAATTAAAATAAAATACTTCTTTTATTTATTATTTCAAATTATTTACTATTTCAAAATCTTAGAATTTTACTTATTACTTTTATAAACTATTATTTGAATTTAATAAATGCTTTTTTTAATTACTAATATTATTTATAACTTTATATAATATATATAGGATTATATATAACTAAAGAATATATAATAAACCTCGAATATTACAAGTATTAATTAGGGAAATTAATAGCCCTTTACTATTATAACTAATTAGTATTTATATTATAAGTATTAGGCTTATAAATTACTAATTATATATATATTATCGGGGTTTCCTATTTAGAAAAGACTTCTCTGGACCTTATAAGAGAAATAAAGATTAGTTCTATACTGAATTTAATACTATAATTTTATAATTTACTAATTTATTCTATTATTTTCTTACTTATTAATAAATACCTTATAAGCTAATCTCTTTACTCTTAAAAGAAATAGTTTAATAAGTAATTATATTTCAAAATCTACGAAATATATAACTTTTTATTAAAGCTATTTCTATAGAAGAAATTAACTAAATTAACTCTAATATAAGTAATAGTAAAGGCTTATCTAATACTTTTAATAGGGCTTTTTAGGAGCCTTCGAGAACTAGTAATAATAATAGAAATAATTCTAGTAATAATTAAGATATTAAAATTAATACCTAAATTACTATTATTTAAGCTATATAATAGGGCTTATATATTAAAGTCGAAGTACTCTAATAAAAGCAAGAATTAATAGATATAATTAATTAATATATCCTATAGTTAGAATAATATAAGAGTACCTTTTGGGATATTTTATAGTTTATTATATCTTATAGAAATTCTATTTATAAGTCTATTTTATTTTCCTTAGTAATTTTTACTAGAGAACTTCCTGAAATAGGATTAGAACTTATTCTCTTTTCTAATATAATAAGTTTTAAGAGTAATCTCGATATTATTTATTAAAAGCTATTATATAATATTCTAAAAATATATTTAAATTAAGAAAAGCTTTTTAAGGTTTAAATACCTGACTTATATTATAGAAAATTCTTTAAAAAATAGAGAATATTTATATTTTCCTAAAAAGCAGTCTTTAGAATCTAATCTTAAATTTATAATAGATATTTTTCTAGAATTAATTCTATTATAAGTACTTTTAGGAACAAACCTTATAATATTTAGAAAACTATAATAAAGTAAAGCCTATTATTATATAAGATTTATTAGAAGTAATTTAAGGCCTATTTAGCTAATATATTTCAAATACTTTAAACTTATTAGTAAAACGCTTTTAAGGAACTCTAAGATCTTTATTAAGAGAATAGTAAAATAGTTATTAAGTTATATATTCGGATAATTAGTTTCGAAATTAACTAGAACTTATATTCTAAAAGAAACCAGATCCGGATTTTTAATACTATTTTATCTAATTATAAAACTCGTTAGATACTTATATTTATTCTTTTAGGAAATAAGATAATATCTATTTTCGAATAATTTAAGAAAGCTTAGAAAGCAGAATATATTAGTTATCCTAAATTAAAAAAAGCAAAAATAAGAGAGTCTAGTAAAAGCAATTCTGCCTCTAAGAACTTTAACTTAGTAAATTCTAATTTATAAAACTATTAAAAAAGAAAGAGAAGTTCTAAAGATTATATAAGAAATTCTCAGGTAATACTTTAGTTTCTTTTAGGCCCTATTAGAATATTAGTTCTATTTTAGATATAATTTATTAAACTTATAATTAGAAAGAATACTTTTTAGTAAATATAAAATATTTTAAATATAATAAATAGGCTTAGCAGAATTCTAATAAGGCTAAAACTATAGAAAAGTTAAGGTATTTATAAAAGCAAGTTAATATTATTATTATAAAGAAATATATTAG